CTCTCTCTCTTCCTCCCTCCCTCCCTCCTTCTCTCTCTTTTTTATTTTTTTGGTGTTTTGAGACCAGGTTTATTACTCTGTAGACTTGGCTGGCCTCGAACTCACTGAGACCCGCCTGCCTCTGCCTCCCAAGTGCTGGGATTAAAGGCGTGCATCACCACCACCTGGCCAGTCTCTTTTTCCTTAAAACAGGTTGAGTCAATTCATCAAAAGCATATGTGTTTGAAATCTTTTCAGAGCAATACATTAGAAATTGTGGCAACAACTGCCCTGGGGAGTGTTCCAGAATTTGAGAACAGTATCCCTGGAAAGCAGTTCCAAGGGGATGAGGGGGTTTTCTTTTTACTAGATTAACAGTTGGCATGAGGTTTGAGCACAGCAAACATGTCTTCGAGAAGTTACCCATGAAGTATGGTAACCATCAATCGCCATTTGTTGAATTCTGCCTGTGTTCCAGTCAGAATTAACTGGTATTTGACTATAAAGTCTCATTTAATCTTCACAGTGACTTCATGTAAAAGCCTATTTCACTAAAGGGGAAAAGACTGGGGTGATAGCGGCCTCTTATCCAGGCTTACCCAGCTGATAAATGGCAACGTGGGGAACTGGATGCAGTTCTTTCTGACTTCCAAAACCATAAACTAGGTTGTGTTGACCTCGGATTTTTCCAAAGGAGCCAAATTTATAAGCAACTGTAGGATTACTTTCAAAAACCAAAGGAATGTCATGAAATCCATCGCATTGCTCACAACATAAGGGATCTTCCTGCAGTTCCTTGTTAAAGCAGCCTGCAGACCCTCCCCCACTGGCTACCGAACCCCCTGGATACTCCCCAATCTTCCACAGGTACAGCAGAGCCCTTTCCAAAGGGAGGAGGCAGCAGCTCTCAGGCTGCCTTCTGAGACCCAACCTGTCTCAGAGGAGATTGCATGTGCTTGTGTGTGTTTGTGTGCATACGCGCATACACACGCATACACTCACACCTGCACAGGTGTGTTAGAAGTGGAATGGCTGACCAACACCTAACTTTTTCAGGTGTATGGATGCTTCATTTATTTAAAACAGTGATCTCTGAATGCTCACTTTGAGCCAGGCATTCTCCATAAAGGTTACAATTGTAGGAGTGAATGAGGTCCTTGTCTTCATCAAACATCCATTCTGGTGTGACGAGATAAGCCACAAACAAACAATCAAGTGTATAAGTGGAAAGCCGGCTAAAATGTATACTGAAAGAAAATTAAATTGGACTGTTGTGACAGAGGAGCTGGGTGACTGCTTTAGCACAGGTCACTGGGGAAGGCTTTTCTGGGGACACTATTTACTTAAATTACAAGAGCAAGAATGACACCCATGCCCTTGGAGCTGCTGTGCTTCCAAATATCCTGCATTTCTCTTTGTTCACAGTGTGAATCTGTGCTGCCTAGAACTCTACAGGATTTACACTGGTTCTGGTTTTTACTTTAAAGCTATCATTTTAAAAAACGAAGAGAATTGTCAAGAAAAGTGACTAGATGCTGTTGGCCTTTCTTCGAAAGACCCAAGTTGCTCCTCTGCTAATTTCTCTGGTACCTACTCCTTCCCTGTAGAATGCTCACCAGCGTGTCTACTGGTCAAGATTCCACAGCCACTAAGTTCCCATGGATGCCAGGGGACCTGGTGAACTGACACTAGAAACCTTGAAATAATATTCTGGGGGGCTGCAGCGACAGAGAGAGACTAAGGTAAAGTCATCCAGCACATCGAGTCATACTCTGGGGTTGATCCCTACCACCCCTGCCTGTGAGTGACCAGGGCTTCTGGTCTCTGCTACTCCTCCTGCCTGTGAGTGACCAGGGCTTCTGGTCTCTGCTACTCCTCCTGCCTGTGAGTGACCAGGGCTTCTGGTCTCTGCTACTCCTCCTGCCTGTGAGTGACCAGGGCTTCTGGTTTCTGCTACTCCTCCTGCCTGTGAGTGACCAGGGCTTCTGAATTTGGGAGCATCACAGCCCTGTAAATTCATCTATCGCTAAGCACCTCTTCTCAGAAATGTTTCCCGGTTTAAGCAATTCAATATGCAAAGGTTCTAGTCTATGTCTTAATCCCTCCCCACCTGCTTAGCAAAAAGATTAGCCACAGAATTTCTTTAAAAAGTGAGTTCCTTTGGTGCATTTAAAGTATGATCTATAAAAACTCAATCTACATAAGGGTTTTATTCCTCCTTTTAAAAAAAGAAAACAGCCATTATATCAAGGGCAATAGCATAAACTTGGACTCTTAATGATGGATTCTGGACTCTCTTATTATGTAATGGCTCTCATTCATTCCACAAATATTTATTGAACTGCTTTATGCAACGCACACATCCAGATTGCTATGAGGACACAATGATAGGAAGAAAGACACAGCCTCTGCCCTCTGAGAGCCTGCAGGCTCACGATCCCAACTCGGGGCAGCAATGATGGAGCTGCAACAGACATATAAACCGAAGCTGTAAGGCAAGCGGGTAAGACAGCATACCACAACTGGGATTAAGGAAGGGGGCTGCAACATCTTAATTTGACTTCAATAAACTCTGATGACTTCGTTAACTGCACAATTCATTCATTCCAGGAAAAGAGAATGTGGCATCTTGTGAATGAAGTAGGACACACCAGGGCACATTCTCAGAACAGATGGAGCCCAATGCAGATGATAAGGAAAAGATAACAAACCTTGGAGAGTGGACCAGAGCCTTGAACACAAGAACAGATAAAATGCAGACCTGGCCCATAAACCCTAACGGTAGCAAGTATTTGGGTCAGGAAAGAATGTATGGTTGTATTTAGAATGCTCATTCCAGCAGCCACATGGAAGACTGATTTGGGAAAAGGCTGGTTTCAGGACAGAGAGGCCCAGTAAAGTAAGCCTCCATTTACGAGGCAGAACAAAGGCAGAACTGATGCTACAAATGATCCAACCCCCAGAGGGAAGACTTAGTTGTAGAAAGACATGAGGGTCCAAGGCCTCAGACCTGGGGGCCTGGACAAGAGAACTCTGGGGCCTCCAAGTAGTGACTTTTAAGGGCACTTGTAAGATGGTAACTGCTTGAAACAGCTATCATGGCCCCAGGGCATAGAGCTCCCCAGCTGCACAGCTCCTGACCCGTGCATGATGTCCCTGTCATTAATAACTCCTCTTCTAGAGATAGGCAGAAGTACCTGTTTAAATGGGAGGGATAAGAACACTTGAGAAATTATGGACTCTCAACAGAAGCAGTGCTGGGATGGACACCTGAGCCCGGGGTCCAACTCTTTCTGATCAAATGGGAGCTCAGGAGGGGAGAATAACTTCAACCAAGATCACCAGGTGTGATTTCAATCTCTTTACTCAGATGATGTCATATCTGATAATGTCATAATAACATGACGGACAGAGGCCTCTCTCTCTCAATATTAAGAACTGGGTTTTGACTTCTACTGGCTGAGTCACAAATGTCCAGTTTAGAGACCGACTGATAACTTAGCTCTCAGGGGCTCTGGGACATCATGGTGGGTTGTGGGGAGTTTATGTCTGACTGCTTGGTCTGAGAGACAGGCGGGTGCTACAATATAAACACTGAATCTCCCCAAAAGTACACATACTAAAGGCTTGGCTGTTTGCCTATGGCATGACTGGAAATGGTGGGACCTTTAGGATATGAGGTCTAGGGGTAGAAAGTTGGGTCATCTGTAATGTGCCTTTGAAAAAATATTGGGGTCTCAATATTTTCCTTTCGTTTCCCAGATACCCTGAGGTGAATAGACCTTCCCTCAACATGATCCCCACTATTATCTCCATCTTACCAGAGACCCCAGTTGACAGGTTCGGGTGACCATGGAGTAAAAGTCCATAAATTGAAACCAGCTTTTTCTCTCTAAAAGTTGGTGTGTCTCATTAATCCGTGACAGTGACAGGACGCTGCTGGGCATACTTGCTTTCTCCTCTGTTTGCAACCATGTTGACATCATAAAACCTATTCTCAGCCAACTTGTCCATAGCAACTATGGACATAGTCTGAAATCAGTTACCCCATGTGCTTGACATAGAATAAGATTATTATGAATGGAGATCTCTCATGATAAAAAAAATTTCTGGGAAATGTCATATTAAATAAAGTTAAAGATGCCTCTTTGTTCCATGACACATCTGAACTTTCCCATTGCTAATACATTCTGAGATTCCTTTGGACTGAAAAGCAGAAATAGCATTTCCCAGTCTTATTTATTTTATTTTCAGAACCATTTGTTGGAGTGTTTCAAGGGACAAATGCCAGCAGGACACACCTGCGAAAGCCCCAGTGATTACTGTTAGATATTAACCTGGAATCTGCATTATAGAGTGCTCACTGTATGCCAGGCTCTGCTCCGAGTATTTTATAGATATCAATATATTGAATTCCCATTTTATAAGTAAAGAGACTGAAAGACTGCAGAGTTAAGATTTTTCTCCCCCAGTGTCCCAAATAGGCAAACGGGTGAGCAAGTGATGTCAATGGGAATTAATGTCTAAAGGTCAAATTTCAAAGTCTATAATCAGTTGGTAGCAGGGCAGATTCCGAGTAGAACCTGGGTACCAATCATCAGTCGCAGGAAACACTGTCAGCCCTTCTGCTTCTGTACTGGTTTATGGGCTTCCTCAGGGACCATAAGATGCAAGCTCTAACCGGTACTATCTAGTTGGTGTCTTCAGCAATTTAATTTGTTGGCTTGTGTAGATATCATCTCCCAATACAACCGACATGAGTTATAAAGCAATGCAACCACTGACAGCCATCAAAACAGAAAGAAAACAGCCCTGAGACTAGCCAGAGTAGCAGGAGGATGGGGATACATGCTTGAGGCCTGGCTTCTCCTGTACTCTCAAAGCTCCAGCCTCTTGCTCCTGATGCCCAGAGAAGCCAACCAAGAGGCTGCTTTCCTTTGAGGTATTATATTGCTTGCTCTTAGGTCGGGATCTCACATCTGACTCTGCTCAGCCCAAGGATTGTCAAAGAAGTGTCCTACCCTTTCCCACTTCCTCTCCTTGTTCAGAAGGATTATGACCAGCTTCGGGTGCATCTGATAGCCATCTTCACTGAAGGACAGGTTTCTCCCCTCGAAAGTGACATTGATCAGATACCTGTAAGGATAAAATTAAAGGAAGGTTAAAAATATGAAAAAAAAAACATTTGAAAGCAGAAGGCAGCTAGGTTGAGAGAAAGGTATAGGGAGACGGCCGTTAGTTAACTGGCACTCTTCAAATTCCTCCTGATTATGCAATACCCATCTAAGTTTTCCAATAGGAACCGTGTGAAAAAATATTACCAAGAGTTGAAATAAGGACAGCTCATCTGAGTTCAGCCAAAGGCTCCGACTTTGACCAAATAATTAAAAAAAACAACAGATTTTTATTTCATTTAAATTATATACATGCATATTTGTTTATGTGTGTGTAGGAGTATATACACATGTGTGCAGGTGTCTGCAGAGACAAGAAGGCAGCACTGGGTCCCCTGGGGCTGTAATCACAGGTGCTTTGTGAGCTACCTAGAATAGGTTCTCGGAACCAAACCCGGGTCCTCTACAAGGACAGCACACACTCTTACCTGAGTCGTCTCTCCAGCCCTCATTTACACTTTTGAGCCTGACCCCCCCCCCCCCACACACACATCTGCAAAAAGTCTGGCACTATAAAGATCACCTAATTAAGTCTGCAAGCTTAAATGAGACAACTAGGTTAAGCACTTACCAGAGGGTCTGGTGCATAGTTAAGTGCTCATTAAGTGTTAACAATTATTATTCAAAAAAGGAGGTGGAATAAAGGGTGGAGGAGATGGAGACAAGAAAAGAAAATGGCTATGTACCAAGACAACTTTCTGCCAAAAAAAGGTAGCATGTAGGCGCTTGGGGTCTGTCTCCACCCCCAAACATGCATGCTCTTTCAATTCTTAGTAAGGACTTGTTCAGCCCTTGTTTGTGAGACTGCCTGAGTGTGGTGTGCCAGAGGCATCTGGAACCCAGGACTTATGTTGGCTGCACACTGAGCAGAAAATACTGAGTGTGGGGAAAGGAGCGGGAAGGGGGAAGTGGTTCTTTTATACAGTGCTCTGAGGACAGAAGCATACATTCGTGGAAATTCTGGAAGCAATTTCAGACCAGTGAAATGGTTTTCCTGCAGGTCATTCGTCTCCAGCCCACCCTGTCCCTTGCGAGCAGCTGGGTCTAAGAAGCAGTTCCTTTACTGGGAATCCCCACAGGCCTGCTCATTGCAAGTGCATTAGTACAACTGGATGGATTGTAACTAATGTCCCTTTACCATCAAGGCCCATGGAATCAATAGGGACAAGTTCCATGCTTGCATGACACGCCACTCCTGCACTGTGGGCCTGACAGCCAGTGAGATGAACCTCTGGTAAGAAGCCAAGGAGGCACCTTACAAAGCCATGGAACCCTCTTCTAACTCTTCTTCCATACATCTGGGGACGTTGCTTGCTGCAGGTTAGGTTAGGTTAGGCAAGGCTGCAGGGAGTTATATAGATCCTTGAAGCAACTGAAAAGATGTCTATGCAGCACGAACCAACCCCCTCAAGGGCACCTCTCATTTTAGGAAGGGCATGGATTGCTATGCCTGCCATGCCCCGTCGTCTGCAGCTGGAGCGCTACAGCTGCGAGCGCAGAAGATTCCAAAAGAGTAGAAATTCCTAGAATTTTGAACTGAGACTTTTCAAGTCAGCTAGCTTGTCGCTTCTTGCAATTGATGCTTTCTCTCTACAGCGCCATTGACTTGGTCCTCTAAGCGTCTATTTAATGTCCCTATTGATGGAACCTGCTATGGTGTCCTCCACCCTCAAGGCAGCCATCCACGAGTCTGTCTTATTTAAAACTGATTTCCAATCCCTTTGCAACTCTTCAAAACTCGTTTCCTCTTGAGATATTTTTATGGTCTTAGTCTAGTCCTCCTTTTGCCTGAGCATTCTTCAAATATTTGAAGATATATGTCAAACATCCCTTATAAAGATATATATTATAAAGATTAATCTGGGAAGAAATCCTAAGATCATTTGCTTCTATATTTTAATTTTATGGATTGAGAAGGAGAAACCTTAAATTATTTGCTTGATATTATATTACTAATTTTGATCAAAAGTAATACTTAAGCAACATTCTAGGCCCCCACAGGCTTTCTACCATATTGCCCTTGGTCTCATAGCAACATGGCATTCAACAGATCCTGTTCCTTTATGTGTCCAGCATATGCCCCAAGCTCCTCCTCTCTTTGGGAATCCTCCATTAGTAGAGTGCAGCATCCCTGGCCCACTTAGCACCCACATGGCATCTTCTTCATCCCTGGCTCTGTTCCTGACCTCTTAGTTCAGTCAGTGTGGCTTCCCTGAATTCGTCATCACTTTGAAGATGATATCCTGGTTTCCTATAGTTGACAATAACTCCAAATCCAACCCAAATCCCTATTCTATGGAATATACTTATAAAACCTGCACTGTAACAAACTACAAGAAAAGCATCTGCCATCATGAGCTTGCAAAACACGTCATTACTGTAATAGTCCTGAACTACTTGAAATTGCTTCTGGAGGTCTTCAGGAAAGATTATGCAACAACAACAACAACAAAAAAACAATTTAATCCCATTTCTCTTTTTAAAGAAGGAAGGAAAGATAGGAGGGAGTAACAGGGGGACTAGACGGGAGGGAGAGAAGGGGACCAGACGGAAAGGAAGGAGGAGGAAAGGGAGAGGGGGAAATGAACTACCAGCCTAAGAACCCACCACATCACCAGGCGGGGCTGTATATTATTTTGCCTTTATCTAAAACACTATTAAAATATTTAAAAGAAGTGTCCGTTTCAGAAGGCGATTATAGAAGCTCCAGAAATGATTGACGTCCTAAGTAACATGAATTGGGTTGTTACAGAGTCCCACAATGACTTTTCTGAAGCAGATAGCATCGAGCTGGAAGCATAAATGAAGAAAGTCAAAATTTCAGGAACTAGAACCCACGCAAAGGCACCATAACTGGTCTGTAGCTAAGCATCTCTCTTACTTTGGCCCCAGGTCGATTTCATGTGGAAATCATTACCTTGCTGACATGTTCTCCCCTTCCTGTCTGCTGGGCTCATTTCATCCATCTGCGTTCTTCTTGAATGCTTTACACTTAGCAAGACTATCAATAAAGTTTTATGACGCTCTACAAAACCCTTCACAACGTGCGTGTTAATCATGTGTGGCGTTCGGCAGCATATAGATTAATCATTCACAGGATGCGTGTTTTCTTTCTGAGAACTGCCTGTGCCATGGCACCATTTACCTGCCGGGCACTTGACGACTTGCACCAGCCCTGAGCAAGGACGGCCCTTGAACAGCTGAGCACATTCGTCCACTCACTGGTGATAAAAGAGTGATAGGATTCTGGCGGCCATCACTTTACTGCTTGCGGTCCCAGCACCCAAACTTCAGTTATCCCTCTTTAGAACTGGCGTGTGACCTCCAGATGTCAGGGAAAACAGTTCTTGGGATGAGCCAATGAAATAAAGAACAGCGCCCAAAAGGTAATTTTAAATATGAGCCTGTATAGCAGGGAACGTTCAGAAAAATGGTGTTAGCAAGACACGGACATCTAAAGACAGGACACCTGCCCAATTTTAAGCTTCTCTGATGAAAATCCTACAGTACAACTAGCAAGACCTTCCCATACATGGGCTACATGGAAAGAATGAAGACTAATTTCCACACAAGGCAGTAACACTAGGTCCTAAGATCACACGGATAATTAAACTTCCCATAAGAACTAAAAACATCCAATTACTTTTAGATCTGGCTATACTTTATTCATTTAAAATATTATGACCCTGAAACCTCCACATAGAAGTCCCAGGTAAAAAAAAAATTAAACTACAATAAAGAGTCTGAGCCCCCCATAATCACTGGTTCCCTATACATGCTATTCTCACGCACGCAGGCAATCCCCCTGGATTAGGGGAAAGCCCAAGGCAGAAATGTTGCCCATAACACACTCTCATCTCTCTGAAGTCCAATCAAGTTTGGATGTATTAAATTTTGCTTGATTTTTCTCAGATGTGGTTTAACATCCAAGACACCCACTGGCCTATCTCCTAAAGTTGTAGTATCACACAGAATCTGAGCTTGTCAGGGGTCAAAGAAAAGTGAAAAACTTATTCATTGAAAACTCTTATTCTAGAGGGAAACAGGCCCCAAGATGCTAAATGATCTCCCCAAGGGACATTCACATTCAGGCTCAGAGATCAGATCATCTATTCTTAAGAGTTTAGTTTCTTTTCATGACATTCTGAAGAGACACCAGTTTTCAAAGTTCCCGTTGTGCATTTTAGCATCTTCATAGCACGCGCCATGCTCTGGATTACCTAAATCCCTACCGGAGACTAAATCAAGTAAAACAGATCTCCCCTCCTGCGTACCTCCTGGTTGAAGAGGAGACTCGGAATCTTGATGGGCTCCCAGCCAACACATTTGGTTTACACGGCCTAAGTCACACTCCAGCAGGTTTTTAATAGGGTCAGACAGAGGCTAACAAACCTGTGCCCTTTTGACTTTGGCCACACAGAACTCTTGTGTATCACGTAGACTAGACGCCTGAAGTGATGACTCAGCAGTGTGTCCTGTGTGGGAGGCACCTGAAGGAGTCCTGCCAGCATTTGTCAGCAAACCTAGAGCCCTGGCATGGTGGCATCTTTCTGTCTTCAGATTGTTACAAAGCACTTTATAGAAAGCAATACCCACTAATGTGGTGATAATGTGAAACAGCACCGTCAGCCTGGCTCGTCCAACCCAGTCTGTGTCTTGTCTCCCAGAAAAGTTCTGTAGCTTTACAGGTGACAGGGTTAGAAACAGCATCCAGAGGTGCTCAACCCCAGTCCACCATGTCCCTTCTGCTCACCACCATGTTTCTAAACGGAGCAGATTTTTCAGAACGCAGGTCCATTCTCTAGCTATTAAAAGTAAAGAGAACAGAGTCCCTGTGGAATGAATTCTTGACCACCTGCTTACATTTATCTCTGAAACTGTTCTACTTTGTGACTTGGTACCAGCAATACATCTCTAGCCTCTAATATCTCTAGTCTGTCATCTAATAAATAGATGACAAAC